TATAGCGTATGGCGCTAGCTATTTTATCTGTGATACCTCTTCATCTGTCTTCTGAAGCTGATTAGATGAGAAAAATGTAAGTTAAAGGTACTTAATCTTCAGTTGTATAAAAAAATAAGAATAGTAAGTAGTAGTGTGGATTTCTAGTCAAATTTTGCGTTTTGTCTCTTTATTAAGATATCTTCACTACACTTTTCGGAAAAAAAATGTTATAAATATACAAAAATTACAGAAAAAAAATATGTATATACCTCGACATTAAAATATTTATAAACAAACAAGTAACAGTGTGAAAATAAATTTGTCTCCCTCTGCTTTTTTGATTTGTAAATATTTTAATGTTGCGTTTTATACAATTTTTTTGTAATTTCTGTATAACAATTGTAATTGTTATTTTTACTTAAGTTTCAATAAACAGAAGAATTGTCGACACTCAACAAGTTTGTCATCACTCATTCTTTACTGTTAGTTAAATTGCATGAAAAAAAAGTTTCCATGTTTCAGAGCCAAATTTTATCTGTCTAGTCTTTCCGATCTCAATTGAAGACCAAAGAGCTAGGCAGTATGTACCAGGTTCGGTCGCTACGCAGCAACTCGGCATTGAAATATTTCAAAAACTTGTACCCATATTAATTTTATTTAGCCATATATGTATAACCCATATAGGGGTCTGATCAGACTAAACGTGGAGGTGGTAGAAATGTATTCGCCCAGTTGAAGAATGCACGCGCGTGCAAACGGCCCACAAACACAGCCGCACTGGGCAACCGACCATAAATTTTAGTTGTTGACAAATTGCCTAGCAGTGCAATGCTGCAATGCGGAATTATTTTATTATTAATTATTTTTATTTAATAACTTTTCTAACATAAACTAACAACCTTTCCTCATCATTTCCTGGCAAGGATATGTTCATACCTTCCCGTTAGTTCTTGCTTAGCAATAATATATTTTAATGAAAATGTAAATGTTTTTTGATATGTCATAACTAAAATTTACCATCAACATAGGTAATAAAATTGTTTGAGGACAGGAATAATTAAAATACGTTGTTGGCCAAATGAATATACAGGGTGTCCCATAAGCACATGATCAAAAAGGTACTGCGACATTCTTTGGCTCAAAAGAAGACGATTTGACCTAATTTCCATTAAGAAAAAATGCCTAGCTCCTCTGCTATTGACTGTCAAAGTTCTTGAAAAAAATATATTTTTTTTTGTAATATCTGTATTATTAATATATGTATTAACATGGTTTTTAATGAAACTTGCTGTGGACTTGTTTCTAGGTAAAACTCATGTTTTGATGAAGCAACCGCATCCATCTGCCTTGGGCCAGTGGTAAATTCTTGAGTGTCATGGTACAAGAATTACCAGAACTTTTTATTTGGTAGCTGGAATCAATAATTCATTTTATTTTTATTGATGCATCAGTCCTTTTTCGAGATTTTCGTGCTCTTGGTAAAATCTTGTAGCATTCATAGTTTTTACGCAAACAAATTTTTCAATTTTAAACAATCATTGTCACTACTACTCAAGTACAACAACTACAATTACTAATAGAAATTTTTTACACATTATATACAAATTTTTATAATTTTTTACCTTTAGCAGAAAACTTTTTTAGGAACGCCTATGAAACTCGTTAAATTTTATTGCTAGGCGTTTTTATACATGTTCAACTGACTTCGGAAAGACTATACTGTCAAACTATTTTAAATGGTTTTCTATCATTTTTTGTATTTGTTTTATTTTCTTTTTAACATTTGAGTTGAATTAAAAGAATTCATACACGAAGTAAGTAACTATAGGTGACTTTTGTCTTGCTGGCATCTTTGTGACAGAAGGTTTTATATGCTGAGATGTCAAATAAACAACTTCTCAAATAGCGCGTCTGCGAGAAGAAGAGTTGCCTGAAAAAAGCAAAGCCAATAACTCCCTACTTGAAATTTCTACAAGGCTGGTAAATCTTTATGCCCTTTTTGCCTTTATTACGCCTCTTCTTGAAAGCAATACCAGTTATCGCGTCTAGTTTCCTTTCCAACTTTTTTTAGTACAGCCCTGTGTCAAGGGACCCATTCGCGTCTCTTATGACGTTCGAAATTTGTCAATATACGAAGCGGACACATGTTTACGAGCTCGGACCCTCAACTTTATGATGGCCGGGTAGATTTGATTGCTAATACCGGCATTTATTGCCTGCTGCATAAATCTTATACCCTTGCCACCGTTCGCCAGTCTCCAACTATAATATTAATACCGATCGATAAATTTTCTTGTGTTTACAATCTGTCGTTCGGACAAGGTACTCACGTGTGGGTAAAATTTACAGGCCATGATATAAAGCTGAATGCTGCAAAAAGGAAGTTTTATAGAAGATGGCATTTTCATTCTGAAAATAGATCATAGAAGGATCTATAACGGATATTTTTATTATTGCGTCAGTTTGGAATAATTTTTCAGCTCTTAAGTTCGTATGGAGGCATACTGCACTCTAGTAAAAATACTGGCTGGTGCACAAGGTATTCAAAATGTATCATTTCAATGCAAATAGATTTATATATCATAAAAGAATTGTTTCAAATAAGATTTGTAGCATTTAAACAGGAAAAATCACAGTCGTTCAAGGAAAAGTTAGTAGAATCTTATTCCGCTCATTATTTTAGACAGCTTTGGTTTGAATTTTTTTAGAAATGTGCAGCTGTCGAGTACAAAAAGATGCTGAATAGTCTGCTATAAAGTTTGTTGTTAAATGTTCTCATTAGCAATCTAATACACTATCAAATATCGTCTTGTACTGTTGCTGGATTCCCATACACTAAACTTTTAAGATATCTCTCTCGAAAGAAAATTTCAATGGGGTCAGATCCCGAAACCCTGCTGGTTTTAAAATGTCTTCCAATTAAAAACTGTGGAAATGCCACAATCAAATTAAAGGGAACAAACAGCTCATCATGTCTTTCAGCAGTTGCATAATCTTTACAATGTCTCAACACAGACAATATAGCTTATCGCCTCAGCCCGCGCTTCAAATGCTGGAAATTGGCAACCTAAAAAGGATGCAGGGTTTTGTTAGCCGGCATCCAGCAATAAAATTTAGTGTGGTAAAAATTAAAAAATTTTAAATTTCCTTAAGAATAGTACCTTAATTTTTTATTTAATAAAATTGTTGGAATCTCAAGGGGTGGTTGATACAAAATTTATTTAAAAAAAAATAAATCATCAATCAATGAGAGTTAAGATAATGCGTTCGCTACTGCTGTTGCAATTATTGACTAACTTTTTTCCGACAGACGGACTTCGGACCTTTTCCATTCAATGCAGAACGGACAATCAGGAGGAGATCTTTTAAATTATTATTTTTTCGATTCAACGCACCGTTTCGGAGTTATAAACACTTTTTTTTTCTTTGACGACTCACACTGTTGGTCCCGATTTTTATTTTTCGGTATGCGGACTCGATCACCCAACAAAACCATTGGAGATTTTTTGATATTTTGAGTCATTTCCGAGTTACAAGCAAATACCGTTTTTTTTCTCCTACGTTGTGAGGTCATAGCTCGATGACGTAGGCTAAAAAGGCCACGCGCTCTACCCCACGCTCCCTCCCTAGATGTCCTGAAGATGCCGGGGAAGCCCCAGAGATTCCTGAAGGCAGCAGAGAGACATAGAGAGAGAGAGACAGAGCGATAAAAGCCCTCTATGACGACAAAGTCAGTCTATCTCTATCGCACACTATAACTCTATTTCGCACACAATCAGACAAAAATGACCTTTAAAAATACATCGTTATCAGAATAACCCATTTTTATTTAAAAAAATTAAAATGGGTTATTCTGATGACGAAAAATAAAACATAATTAAACTGTATTATTTAAATAACAATAATGTGCAAAAGTTCTTGAGGAATATCGGAAAATTTATTTTGGAGGACGAGTCCCGTCAACGAACACTGTAAAAATATTATTAGAAACCTTAGGTGGCCAGAAAACAGCCCCAATCTCAGTCCTTTAGACACATTTTTGTGGAGACACTTCAACAAACTATATTATTAGACCTCAACATTTACAATACTTGTAAATTTTGAGGTCTAATAATATATTTTGAAAGAAAAAATACAGGACGAAATGTTTGATAATTCTGAATTTGTTTTTGTAGCAATAAATAGTAAATTAAAGCATATTTTCAACTATATCATCACAATTACTTGCATGTTGAAAAATTGTAAAAATTGTAGGTATTTTAATGTTATTTCGTTTTTAAGTATTCTCCTTGTTTGATCCCAAACTGTGTATTTTCCTTTTATTATTGACGAGTGTGCAAGTGTCAATGTTCTGTCTAATTTTTGTTTTGACAAGCTCCGTAACTGTACATTTTGTTAATGTATAATTTGTTAAAATAAAAGTTTTATCACAAGCAGTCTATCTATAGGCATAAAAGATCCGGAACCAGCACCAGAAGATCAACGGATATGCTGTAATTAATACGAGTTGCAACATATTTATTGGTCCTTCGAGCCGGATGTACCTATAGATAAAACATTGCAAAAGCATCAACGGTCCTTCAAGCTAGCAACAACAAGTGGTGTTCCTGTACGGGAAGGGAATTCAAGCAGCGATTCTCCAGCCTCAAGCCAGCAACGGCAAAGCAGCATCCCGGCAGCGCGACAGCCCAACGAAACCTTTACGGCACGGCGAGCTTTCCTGACGTCGACGACGACGACGGAACGGCGCTCGGACCTCCACACTCCACAGCCCACAGCAGCAGCGTAGTGAGCAGCAGGTTCGTCACAACAACAAAAACAGCACCGCACACGTGCGGATAAAAATTGTTTATAAATTCGGAAGGATTAGTAAGCAAAAACAATCATTTCTTATTCTATCTCATGCAAGATATTTTACATCTTAAAATATTTGTGTATACTGTAAAATCAAACTAACTGTTCTAAAGTGAATACTAGTCTCATAATTTATACTCAACATCTATAAAAAAGGTCGAAACATGGACAAGCTTCAAAAAAAGGCAACGTGTATCAAAGACACACTGATACGCATTCACGAATATGTCAAAGATCACTTAGATACAGCTTATAAGCACGAACTTTCAGTAAGAAAAGATGCTTTCATTGAAAATTATCAACAATTTCTAGATGTACAGTATCAAATAGAGGCTAGAGATGAATCTAAAGAAACCGAACGTATTGCAGTCGAGACAATGTACTACGATACTTTAGCTTTATGTAAACCTTTCTTAGACGATGGCAATACGGTAACAAATCAAAATAGCTCAAGTAATGTTTATGTAGATAATAGTTCAATCAAACTCCCTCACGTGAATGTTCCCATCTTTACAGGCATAGCTGAAGAATGGGACGCATTTTTCGATGCATTTACTGGTATGATACATAATAACCAAAAATTAACGGACATTCAACGTTTCTATTATCTCAAAGGTTTTTTAAAAAACGAACCGCTTAACTTAATCAACAATTTAAGATTAACGTCAGAAAACTACCCGGCAGCATTAAAAATACTCAAAAAACGTTTCGATAATAAATTCGACATTATTGAAGCTCATATTTCTAGTATTTTGGACATACCTCCCATCGCTAAAGGGAATGCCCAAAACTTGAGAAACTTCTTAACTGATGTTCGACAACACTTGAGTTCGTTAGAAGCGCTAAAAATGCCAGTTGAACATTGGGATGTAATCCTTGTATGCATTCTTACTAAAAAATTAGATTTTCATACTCACAAAGCATACGAGTTAGAAAAAACAAAAACCGAATTACCCACTGTGGAAAACTTTTTAGACATCGTGGAACGTCAGTGCAGTGCCCTTGTAAAGGTGGCACATTCCACTCACAGCAATCAAAACAAACAGAAACAGCGCACATTCACACATGTAACTAGCGAATTTTCAAATACTCATTTCGAACACAAATGCGAATTTTGTTCTAACAAAAAACATTCAATTTATCAATGTCCTAAATTCAAGGCATGCACCGTGGATCAAAGACAGGAATTTGTTACTAAAAACGGTTTATGTTACAATTGCATAAAAAAGGGTCATTCAACAAATCAATGCAAGTCGAGCAATTGTAGACTTTGTGATAAGCGGCATCATACTTACTTGCATAAACCTACTTCAAATATACAGGGCGTTTCGACGAATACATCCGAGAGTAAATCTGATACTGCGGGCAACGCTACGGTTTTACATACTAACAATACTAACAACGTACAAGTATTATTACCCACAGCGCAAATAAATGTTGTCACTGCTAACGGAAAATTTATACGTGCAAGAGCGTTGTTAGATTCTGGAAGCCAAACTTCATTTATCACAACTAAATTATTTAAACAAACCGATTTACGGGCCTACAATCAAAATATTCAAGTTTTAGGTTTATCTTCTAATCCGATACAAGTAACAAAAATGGTAGATATAAAAATACAATCACGTATTACAGACTTCACAGCCAAATTGTCATGCGCAATTTTAGACAGCATTACTGCAGATTTACCACATTATCCAGTTAACACAAATAAGTTTACCATACCTGACTATATCGCATTAGCAGATCCAGAATATCATACTCCCACGCAAGTTGATATACTCATTGGAGGTGACTTATTTTTTGAAATAATGTCATTCAAATCAAAACAACTTGGAAACAATTTACCGTTTCTCCAAGATACAAAGTTAGGCTATATTGTAACGGGCAAGGCTCCGACAAGTTACTCGCATCAAGTAAGAGCTTTATGTTCAACCTCAACAAGGGACGTCGACGAAATAATTTCGCGTTTCTGGAAATTAGAAGAAGTCACTTCTAACACTAATAGCATTCATTTTCGTAATCCCAAAGAGCGATTATGCGAGAAATCATTCGTGGAAAATACTAGTCTTTCCAATGGCCACTTCACAGTGCGTTTACCATTCATTGACGATACAGCTCGTTCTCTACTAGGCGGATCTTTTAACATGGCGTTACGTAGATTTTACTCATTAGAACGACGTTTATTAAAAGACGAAAAACTCCAACTAGAATACAAAAAATTCATTCATGAATATATTTCCCTTGGCCACGCGAAATATTCAAATCTCGATTTGTCAATATTCAAAAACGACAACACCGACGGCTACTTCCTACCGCATCATCCGGTGATTAGGGAGTCTAGTCTTACTACAAAACTACGAGTCGTTTTCGACGCTTCGCTAAAGACCACCAGCGGGTATTCATTGAACGACATACTTTTGACTGGGCCAACAGTGCAGCCTGAACTATTCGACATACTATGTAGGTTTCGCACACATAAATACGTGATTACAGCAGACATCGAAAAGATGTATCGGGGAATAAAAGTAGCAGATCAAGACACTGACTTGCAGCGCATTCTGTGGAGAGATAATCCAAACGATCCTTTACAATGCATTACGTTAGTAACAGTTACGTATGGAACAAGCGCAGCTCCGTTTCTAGCAACACGAAGCCTAGTCAAATTAGCGGACGATTACGCAACCGACTATCCATTAGCTAGTAACGCTTTACGTCAGGACACCTACGTAGATGATATCCTTTCGGGATCAGATACTCTTGTAGGTTTAGCAGAACTCAAAGCTCAATTAAATGAGTTACTATCGCTAGCAAGTTTCAAGCTCCACAAATGGGTTTCTAATCAAAAATCGGTTCTCTGTGATACTACCACGTCTTCAGCAGACAAAGTTGACATTCATTTAACAGACAATGATCTATCAGTTAAAACTTTAGGACTTGGCTACAATCCTACTACGGATATGTTTCAGTTTAGCTCACCAATCGATCAACCGGTTACTAATTGTACTAAGCGAAATATCTTATCATTTATCGGAAAAATGTTCGATCCATTGGGAATTTTGGGACCAGTTATAATTCGAGGTAAACTACTACTACAACAAATTTGGTCTAGAAATCTCAATTGGGATGATCCCCTACCTCCTGATATATTAAAACAGTGGCAAGAATTCGAGAAAGGTATCATACACATGACCGCCATATCTGTACCTCGGTGGCTATTTCTTAGTGATTCTATAATTGCGATAGAGATTCACGCTTTTTCTGACGCCTCAGAAAAGGCATACGGTACGTGCATTTATCTTCGTGTTTTGTACTCCACTCGAGCAGTTAGTACAAGGCTAATCTGTGCAAAATCGAAAGTAGCACCACTCAAACCGATAACATTACCTCGCTTAGAACTGTGCGGTTTTTTGCTTATGGCACGTCTAACGCGTCGGATAATCAACATTTTAAATCTAAAACCTTCCAAAGTGCATCTGTGGTCTGATTCAAGTATTGTACTTAATTGGATAAATTCTCCTCCAGGTCGATGGAACACCTTCGTAGCCAACAGAGTTAGCGAAATTCAAGAATTGACCAACGGGTTTCAACGGAGCCACGTGAAAACAAAAGACAATCCAAGCGATGTTTTGTCTCGCGGAACAGATCCAAATTCACTCATCACGAATGGGATTTGGTGGAACGGTCCCACCTGGCTCTGCAAATACGACAATTCTTTTCCAAATGCCGGAACCGTGGAAATAGAACTTGAACTACCAGAACAACGCAAAACAAGCGTCCATACTGTCATTAAGGTCGATCAAGATTTTAGCAGATTCTCAAATTTAACACGTCTCAATCGAGCAATAGCTTATTGTTTTCGGTTCAGTAACAATGCTAGACTAACACGCGATCGAATTCAAGGTCCATTAACAGTCGCCGAAATCAATCGCGCACATTTGGCTATAATTCGAATTGTTCAGAATCAAGCTTTTAGCAAAGAAATTGCTGCTTTAACAAACAATGGAGATTTAAGTAAAAGCTCAATAAAAACTCTGAATCCATTTCTAGACAAAAACGGGATGTTACGTGTATCAAGTAGGTTACAAAACGCAGATGTAAGTTACGACCAAAAATATCCTCTTATTCTTCCTCAAAACCATCACGTCACACTTTTAATAATACAATCTGTACACTTTTCTCTGTTACATGCAGGACCACAACTGGTTTTAGCACATCTAAGACTTCGTTACTGGCCATTAAATGGCAAACGTCAAGTTAAAAAGATAATCAACAAGTGTGTTACTTGTTTCCGTTTAAAAGCAATCACTGCAGAACAACTGATGGGAGCACTTCCACATGACCGAGTAAGAACTGCGCGTCCATTTTCAAAAGTTGGTGTAGACTATGGTGGGCCATTATTTATTCGCCAATCACGCCTACGAAAGTCCGTCATAACCAAAGCTTACATGTGCCTATTCGTTTGCATGGTAACCAAGGCCATCCATATCGAATTGGTATCGGATATGACAACGGAAACCTTTCTGTTATCGTTAAAACGCTTTATTTCTCGCCGTGGAAAGCCCAATACAATTTTCAGTGATAATGGTTTAAACTTTGTTGGTGCAAATAACCAACTCCGAGATCTTTATGAATTACTCTCTAATAAACGTCATATTTCGCAAGTTCAAGACTCTTCCACCAACCAAGGTATCACCTGGAAGTTCATACCACCACATAGCCCGCACTGGGGTGGTATTTGGGAGTCAGGCATCAAATCTGCTAAGTATCACATTAAACGAGTAATTGGAAACTTAACTCTTACTTACGAAGAACTGGCTACAGTGCTTAACCAAGTAGAAGCCATTCTTAACTCTAGACCGTTGTGTTCGTTATCAAACGACCCCAACGATTTACAATATCTAACTCCAGGTCATTTTCTTATTCACGCACCGCTAACAAGTTATCCCGAACGCGACATAACTGAAACACCGGTCAACCGCTTATCATTTTGGCAGCAATGCACACAGTTACAACAGCAATTTTGGAAGCGCTGGCGAACAGAATATTTAAATCAACTTCAAAGTCGTCCCAAATGGTTTAAAAGTCATTCTAACATTAATGAAAATTCGCTAGTGCTCGTCAAAGACGAAAATGTGCCTCCTTTACAATGGCCGTTGGCTCGAGTTACTAAGATCATTCCTGGTCGCGATGGTCGCGCACGGGTAGTTGAGATTAAAACCAAAGCAGGTATCTTTTTACGTCCTATCACAAAATTATGTGTCCTACCTTTAAACTAGTTAAAAACTCATAAGTTTTCAACGGGGGGGAGTATGTTTGATCCCAAACTGTGTATTTTCCTTTTATTATTGACGAGTGTGCAAGTGTCAATGTTCTGTCTAATTTTTGTTTGACAAGCTCCGTAACTGTACATTTTGTTAATGTATAATTTGTTAAAATAAAAGTTTTATCACAAGCAGTCTATCTATAGGCATAAAAGATCCGGAACCAGCACCAGAAGATCAACGGATATGCTGTAATTAATACGAGTTGCAACACTCCTTATGTTGCTGTAAATGTTAGTTATAAAAATCGTTATTTGTTATTTCAATAAGGATTGTACATTTGTACTTAAGGTTATAAATATTAAAAAATGTATATGTATATTTGCTGTTTAAAATTTTGTTTATTTGGAAATATATTTTCTGCAGTATTTCAACATCAAAAAATGTAAATAGTACCTAGCCAATTAACGAAATTATGATTAAATAACTTAACTGTGACACCGCTGCAGAATATCATATAAAAGTACATAGATATTCGTTGATTCTTTAAAACATTTTTATCAATACTACATGATATATTTAAATAAATACAGTAAGTAACAGCAACATTGCCAAAGTGTTGTTTATATGTTGCTAGGATACGGGTAGGAATGCGCTGCATTTGAGTCTTCCTAAAATTTTGCTGGTGGTGTACTCTATCAGCGATTCGGAAATTTAAAACTGCTGTCCAATTCAGCGGTCTGGAGCGAAGCTACATTGTCTGTGCTCTCAAAGAGAACTACTGCATTTTCTTTTCCTTTCTGTTTCAAAGGATAACAAACTCTGCAATCCCTTCAGTAACGTATAGCATATATTTTTTATAGTTTTAAATGACTCTAATTGTCTAATGACCTTAGATGTACACATTTGTATCAACATAGATGTATTTTCCACTGGTAATGATAAAACCATCTTTACTATTCACGGTTTACAATTATTGAGTCAAAATATATCTGTTTTGTCCAAACACATGTTTTATCCTGGTTATATATAACACCTCATCTATGTTAATATGTTCCGAACCACAGGTCGTCTAACTGGCGCGACATGACATATTAAACTGTTTAAAATAATTTATACCTATTTCTTTAAACAAAACCTTGGCCTACTGACTGATTAACCGAAGAAAAATCATTGCAAGACGTGGAAAAATACACTGCGCTATTTTGATGAGCTAGAAATTTAAATTAATTATTAACAAAAATTGTAATTAATTTAGTTTTGTCAATTAGTTATTCAGCAATATGAAAAATATCGTAAACAAACTATAGGTGGTGAAATTTTGACACATGATTTATTCCGGATAGGAGAAATTTTCAAATATGTTTTGTTTGATTCTGAAATATGTTCTTTTCGGTAAAATTTATAAATAGGACAGTTTATAAATATGTTTTCGCAATGCTTTTGGAAATTTTATATTGTTTTACTCACAAGAAATATTTTTTATGACTATTAGGTATGTGTTTATAGACATTCTATTGGCACACGCTGTATAGCAATCTTGGAAAAAAAGATATGTAAGAAAAGTTGTAAACATCTCGTTTAATAGAGGGTGTATCAGAAGAAACGCATATGTTGAAAAAAAAATTATTGGGTAATTAATGTTGGTAAAGTTTATACATCTTTAAAGGACCATTAAATATGAAATAGGATATCGGACAGTTCATTTGACATGCTCGACTTATTTTAAGAAAATTTTGTATCACTCTTTCACAAACCTGCTGTTGAATTTCATTAATAACTCTCCGAATTTCATCCTTTAATTCAGGAATGGTACTCATCTGAGCAGAATAAACTTTGGACTTTACGAATCCTTACAGGAAAAAGTCACATGGCGTAAGATAGTATAATCTTAGTGGCCAAGTCACTTCACTGTTACGTAAAGTGAGTCGTCCTATAAATTCTGACGTAACAAGTGGATAGTTTTCCGTGCCATATGACAGATAGCATCATCCTGCTGGAACCACACATGTCATCCAAATCCATGCTATCCAAATGAGGCCACAAAAAGTTTCGCCACCTTTCGATATTATTCTCCATTGGCAGTCACTGTGTTTAAAGCCTCATTTTCAAAAAAGAATGATCCAATCACCCCATCAGCGTAAAATCCATACCACACTGTCACTCTTTGAGTGGTCGATCTTGAATGACAGGAGGATTGTCACTGCCCCAAATTCGACAGTTCTTCTTGTTCACATACTAAAATGGACATGCGTCTCTTCGCTAAAGATGATAGTAAAATCACCGTCCACTTGTTGATTTTCCAACATCCAATAACGAATGTCCGACACATTAAGTGGTTGTCTGGTTTCAATTCCTGGGTTAGCTAAATCGTGAATGGATGCAGATGTAAACCTTGTATTAAAATCCGATGCATTGTGCTTTTTGAAATGTTTAATTGCAGTGACACACACTATCACACACCGTAGCAATATTTGTCTGCAACCGAACCTGTTTTCCGTTCGGGGCGGAAATAATTTGCGCACAGTCTCAGCTACATACTCTCCGCAGTTATAAGGAATTTCCCCAATATTCACCCGCTCATAGTATAGCGCTTCATTTTGTCTAACCGTATCATATGACGGTACACAATGCTGCCAACTCTTCGACATAAAAATGGCGCACAATTCAAATCCTATGTTATATTTGTGACACTCTGTATATGTTTGCCTTGAAATAATTGTTTTCATATATTTGAATACAAATCTCTTACAAAATTAAAATAATAAATCTATTGATGAGTCTATCTCTAATAATAAGGTAGATATAGTCAAAAGAGAATATTATATAATATAATTTAATTGTGATTTGCATCTCGGGAGTCGAAAAATTACAGTCCCTGATTAATGACCGACTTTAGATGATTCAAATATAATTGATGAGACATAGTCACTAGAGAATATCCTAATCGTTTGATAGTTTTGGAAATATTTGTTTTGTTTACAATGCAAGAATAAACAAATACACACATACAAATACACATGCTTGGAAATCGGTTAACCGCAATGGGAACTTTTATAAAAATTCCTGTTTCTAAAACTACATACGAGATTATTGTGATGCAATACTTGCAATAGATATGAAAGAAATAAGTTGGATCGCATGGGAATTTTGAAATAATAATTTTTTGCATTATATTTATTAGGAACATAATTTGTTGACATAGCAACAGTAATTTTATAAATATTTTAATCAATTTTTTGTTATTACAGAAAATATTTTCTATATAAATAAAGTCGTTATTCCTTCGCATCATATTATTCTAATGGAATAACTAGGCAAATAATAATAACAACCGAGAAAAGGCATATGAAACGAGTAACTGTGTATTCAGACTAAATTCTTTAAGCCCAATAAATCTATTTCTGTAACAATCTTTATATAAGCCCTGCAGTGACTGAGCTTCTAGCTGTACTTTGGGGTCTTACTTTAAATTGCCTATTTACATTTCATGAAGTTTAAAAATTCTATAAAATTAAGAGAGTGCTTCCAGCAATATTCTTTGATATTCATATGACAGGATAATCATTGAGAATTTCTATGTTGCATAAGATTCTTACCTACGTCCTGAAAGATTCAAATGGGCATTCCTAGTGAATTTAAAAAAAAGGTTTGAAAAGTCGATTGAAAATATTAGATGTGAAGTTTTTTAATAACAGGTATATTTTCGATGATTTAAAAATCTTTCGTAAACGCTTTTTAGATGTTTTAGATGTCTATTAACGAAAGTGTGTTTCTTGGTCATTTTCAACTTGAAAAATCCTTAATACTGAAGTAATATTCCGCAAATTGGCAGCACGATGTTGTTGTGACCGAGCATAATTAATAACTAGCCATTTGTAATTATCAAATATGTTTATGAAGCAAAAATAACAACATTTAATTTGAGTAAGTTGTTAACCCCATTTAATAACTTTCGTTCAACATTTACAAGAAAATATGAAGAAATATGATCTTTTTCACATTAGCTGTTAGATGTATGCAGTTAAGTAGAAAATATAGTACTATTCAATTGAAGTAGAATACCCAAAAATTGAGGAGATATTATTTAAAGGTTTCAAAATAGTGTATTATAAATAAACATCAGAAATAAACATATTTCTATACATGGTGTTACAAAATGCTTTTTCTTTCTAAACGTCCTATATTGTTTCTCCGTAATTATCACTATGCTTGCATCAACTTAAAAAAGACTATTTTCTTTGCCTTTGTTATTAAGAAAGATATTTAATATTAGATTTAAAGATATTTAAAATTCAGATATAGCATTTTGTTAGGATAATTTTTACCAATAAATACATTTTTAAGTATATGTAGCGGTTAATAAATTAAATAAAGTTTTAAAAATAGTAATTACAAACCTTAGATTGAAGTTAGGTAATGTAAAAGTTAGTTTTTTTCATAATTGAACAAATGTTAGAATCCGCATCTCCCTCTTGTGTTTGGTTTAGCATACATTTGATATTTTTGGGGATGTAGTACATGTTTGAAAGCTAATTTAATGGAATATTAAATGTAATAATATACCAGGATCTTCCGTTTGAAAATAAAATTTTAAAGCTTTTATTTGAAATACTTTTTTTATATTATTACTATTTAAGAATCCATTTCAAATATAACGCCCTGTATATACTTGTTTAGTAATATTATAGTAATATTATAGGAATTTAGTAGTAGTAGTCTACATTTTTCATAAAAAAAAATATAAGTATATTTATATTTATTTTGTTGTATACTGAAATCTATAAAATGTTATTCATTTAACTGTTTTAATGAAAAAGAATTTGTGTATCCGTTTTACCCGGTTTTTCTCTATCGGAATTCATCAAACAAAAGGCCACTTCTCAGGAAAAAGCTAAGCTAATCATCTAGTACAAACTTATTATGGATTTTCCCTCTCTGCGTGGTATATTTATGTTGGTGTAA